GCTAGGGCAAGGGATATTTTGGTTTTTGGATACTGCTGTTTCTTCTGATGGAAAAAAGCAATACTGACCTTGTGGTTATTTATTTGTCGTGTCAGGCCAACCAGTCAATTATATTACATTTCTAACAGAACAAAGCAAACAAACAAACATACAAAATACAAAATTTGTGAGTTTGGTAGTTGATTAAATGTCCTTTGACCAGTATCTGGCCACTTGGAGCGCTTCTGCTAGGCCCCACCATCGTACGCCCCTCCCTCCCGCCGAACCGGGGGAGGGAGAGAAGAAGCAAGGCCCACCAGCGCTCTTTGGGCCTGCTAGGCCCCCACCACCGTGCGCCCCTCCCTCCCGCCGAACCGGGGGAGGGAGAGAAGAAGCAAGGCCCACCAGCGCTCTTCAGACCGCTGGACGCGGCTTAGTGACTTGACCCAACGGAGCGCAGCGGTTTGCCTGGGACTTTTACCTTGACATCGAACCTCGGCCGGGTGGCAGGAACCCCTGCTGTGGCATAGCTGCTGTTATAGACCTATTATCGACCATCATACCTAAATTCCATCTTTTATTATCATCTTCATCCGCCTCTATTCCGGAAGAACTGAACGCCTTATTACCAACTCAATATCAGATTCTGAAGCCGTTGGAGGCTTCCCTATCTAATTACTCCTTGTAAAGTATCATAACAGCCGTCATTTGGGGATTTTTATATCTATTCCCCTCTGCCCTTCTGCCCCAAGCCTGCTGTATTGGGGGGAGGGGGGCTAAACACGAACTGGACTTAACAACAAAATTGAGGACTAGAATACAACTTGCATTGCTGCTATACTGTTATCATAGGAATTTAGAGCCGTCTTGCCCAAAGCTGCTAATTTGCCATCCATCTGCACTTATCTATTGAGCATAACATCTATTGAGTACTATTGCACTTTAAAACTTGTGCACTTTAAAAGCTGTGCACTTTAACGCTACCACGTCTATTCTACAGCACCTTAGTCCTCCAAGCACTTATAACTCCTGAACGCTAACATCTGCACCTTACCACCTGCATTTTATTACCTGCTATCTTGAATACCCATGTCGGCCCTCATTCTGTGGTATTTGCTGATAATATTGCTAGCAAGCGGGGGGGGGGGGGAGAGGGGGGTGGGCGGGAAGATCTGAGAAATAGCAATGCAGGGTCAGGAAGTAATTCAAAGGAATTAGGATGGCAGAAGGAGAAACCGCCAGAGGAAATAGCCTGGAGGGAACCATGGGATGAGGCTGCAATTGTGAAGTGCAATATGGATGAAGAGGGGCATTCCATTGGCCGAGGGGTCCCCATAGAAACCATAACGGGGAGGAGGAGATGCGGGAAAGGGAGACCATCAATTCGGCCACCAATTCGGCTCAAAAGTAGTAGAAAATCTACAACCCAAATTTGGCCTAGGGAGAGAAAAAGAAACTTAAAAAATTTAATAACGTGTAACCGGTCTCCTGACAAGGCAAGTGGGTGTACCCAGGTTGGCGGTCCCTCCGGGTTGAAGATGGTGCTGTTGAACGCCAGATCTGTCAACGGTAAAACATCTTTCATCCAGGATATAATTCTGGAGGAACGGGCAGATCTGGCGTGCATTACGGAGACCTGGTTGGACGAAGCTGGAGGAGTAAATTTAACCCAGCTTTGCCCCCCAGGTTTCTCCGTACAGCACCAGCCGAGACCTGGAGGGCGGGGAGGCGGGGTTGCGGTGGTCTACAAAAATTCCATCCTTCTGACCAGAGGCCCATCCCACAGTCAACTAATTTTGAATGTGTCTACCTGAAGGTGGGTGACCGGGACAGAATAGGGATTCTGTTAGTGTACCGCCCACCTCGCTGCACTACAGTCTCCCTACCTGAGCTAGCAGGGGTAGTCTCGAGCCTGTCATTGGAGTCCCAATGGCTGCTTGTGCTGGGGGACTTCAATGTACACGCCGAGACTGCCTTAGTGGGAGCGGCGGACTTCATGTCTTCCATGGCAACCATGGGGCTGTCCCAACGAGTATCTGGCCCCACACACAGTGCTGGACACACATTGGATTTGGTTTTCTGTCAGGGATGGGAGCAAAGTGGCGGTGTTGAGGAGTTGTCCATCTCTCCGTTGCCATGGACCGACCACTATCTGGTCAGCTTTAGACTTACTGCACCTCCTAACCTCTGCAGAGGTGGGGGACCCATTAAGTTGGTCCGCCCCAGGAGGCTTATGGATCCGAATGGATTCCTGACGGCTCTTGGGGAGTTTCCCGCTGCCTCGGTTGGTGATCCTGTTGATGCCCTGGTGACTCTCTGGAATGGGGAGATGACCAGGGCAATAGACACGATCGCTCCGGAACGTCCCCTCTCAAGTAGCCGAGCTAAACCAGCTCCTTGGTTCAACGAGGATCTGGCAGCTATGAAGCGAAAAAAGAGGAGACTAGAGCGTGTGTGGCGTTCGGACCCGAGCGAATCAAACCGAGCACGGTTTGTTGCCCTGTTAAGGGCATATGCCGTGGCAATAAAGGCGGCAAAGAAATCCTTCTTTGCGGCCAATATTGCGTCCGCGAAGAATCGTCCGGCTGAGCTGTTTCGAGTTGTCAGAGGCCTATTAAAGCCCGCCACTCCGGATGGGAGCCCTGACAACTCGACGGCCCGCTGTGAAGCATTTGCACGGTTCTTCGCGGACAAAGTCGCTTTGATCCATTCAGACCTGGACACCATGTTAACGGCGGTCTCTGAGGATGTGACAAGAACACCTGTCTGTCCGATTTTGTTGGATTCGTTTCAATTGGTGAAACCTGAGGATGTGGACAAGGTGCTTGGAGGAATGAGGGCAACCACATGCATCCTAGACCCCTGCCCATCCTGGCTTCTAAAGGAGGCCAGAGGGGGATTGGCCGAGTGGGTGAAGGTGGTGGTTAATGCCTCCCTTCGGGAAGGCATAATTCCAGCCAGCTTAAAACAAGCTGTAATAAAACCGCTGTTGAAAAAACCATCACTGGACCCCACTCAATTCGTCAACTATCGGCCTGTTTCCAATCTCCCCTTTTTGGGCAAAGTCCTGGAACGTGTGGTGGCCTCACAACTCCAAGCATTCTTGGTAGACACTGATTATCTGGATCCGGCGCAGTCTGGCTTTAGGCCGGGACATGGTACCGAGACAGCCTTGGTCGCCTTAGTGGATGATCTCCGGCGTGAGCTTGACAGGGGGAGTGTGTCCCTGTTGGTTCTGCTGGACCTCTCAGCGGCCTTCGATACCGTCGACCACGGTATCCTTCTGGGGCGCCTCGTGGGAATGGGCCTGGGGGGCACTGTTTTACAGTGGCTCAGGTCCTTCCTAGAGGATCGCACCCAGAAGGTGTTGCTGGGGGACAACTGCTCGGCCGCACAACCATTGACTTGTGGGGTCCCGCAGGGTTCAATATTGTCCCCCATGTTATTTAACATCTACATGAAGCTGCTGGGAGAGATCATCCGGAGTTTCGGGGTGCGGTGTCATCTGTACGCAGATGATGTCCAACTCTGTCACTTCTTTCCACCTGCTACTAAGGAGGCTGTCGAGGTCCTGAACCGGTGCTTGGCCGCTGTGACGGTCTGGATGAGGGAGAACAAATTGAAATTGAATCCAGACAAGACAGAGGTACTCCTGGTCAGTCGCAAGGCCGAACAGGGTATAGGGTTACAGCCTGTGCTGGACGGGGTTGCACTCCCCCTGAAGACGCAGGTTCGCAGCTTGGGTGTGACCCTGGATTCTTCGCTAAGCTTGGAACCCCAGGTTTCAGCGGTTTCCAGGGGAGCATTTGCACAATTAAAACTCGTGCGCCAGCTGCGCCCGTATCTTGGGAAGCCGGACTTGGCCACGGTAGTCCACGCTCTCGTCACATCCCGCATAGATTACTGCAACGCGCTCTACGTGGGGCTGCCCCTGAAGACTGCCCGGAAGCTTCAGATGGTACAGCGCTCGGCAGCCAGGTTGTTAACGGGAGCAGCACTCAGGGAGCATACCACCCCCCTGTTGAGCCAGCTCCACTGGTTGCCAATCTGCTACCGGGCACAATTCAAGGTGCTGGCTTTAGCCTTTAAAGCCCTAAACGGTTCCGGCCCCACTTACCTCTCCGAACGCATCTCCACCTATGAACCGGCGAGGACGTTAAGATCGTCCGGGGAGGCCCTGCTCTCGGTCCCGCCGGCATCACAAGCGCGGTTGGCGGGGACGAGAGACAGGGCCTTCTCGGTGGTGGCCCCTCGGCTATGGAATGCCCTACCAGCGGACATCAGGCAGGCCCCTTCGTTGCTGGTGTTTCGGAGGAGGGTTAAGACGTGGCTCTTTGAGCAGGCGTTCGGATAGCTGTGCAATTGCAATTAAATCCAGGAAGACGGCATAACTGAACAAGGAACGGCAATGGAATGTGAGAACGGAATCTGATTTTTATGTGAGGCGTTGATGTCTATATGTGTGTCGTTTGTGTATGTTTGTCTTTACATTGTTAGTGTGCACAACTTTTACTGTAAACCGCATTGAGTCGCCGGTCACGGCTGATAAATGCGGTATACAAATAGCGTAAATAAATAAATAAATAAATTCTGGTGTTGCTGCAAGAAGGTCACCTTGTGGTGAATGTAAGATAAATGTATTGCCAGCTCTTAAGTTTCCAGGTGTGAGTCTGAAGGGACGGTCACCCATGCTTTCCCCTCTCAACTGGGAAGATACTACAGATGTGTCTACACCAGGCATGGGCAAACTTTGGCCCTCCAGGTATTTTGGACTTTAACTCCCACAATTCCTACCAGCCGAGAGTTAAAGTCCAAAACACCTTGAGGGCCAAAGTTTGCTCATACCTGGTCTACACGGTAGAATTAATGCAGTTTGATACCACCTTCGTGACGCCTAACTTCAACCTGAAAGGGCTCGCGAACGTTCGCTTCCGCCTTCAGGTCCTTTTCTGGCGCTACCTCTCTGAGAGGGAGAAGCGCGAAACATTTCCACTTCCGGCGAACGAGAGAGGAACTTCCGGCGAGCGGGCGACGGACTTCCGACGGCAGAGCCGACCGACCATGGCGGCCTTGAGGCGGCTGGCGGGCTTTCAGAGGTGGTTGAGGTTGGCCCGCCCTTCGGCCCGCGGGGTCTCCTCAGGGGAAAAGGCTCGCTCGGCGGCCTCGGTGCAGGTTCCCTCGGCTCCGGCCCCCTCGCACCTGGCCCCCAGGCCCCTCCACGACCACGACGAGGAGATCCCCGTCTTCGCCAAGGTGAGAGAGAGGGAGAGAGGAGGGCAGGGGAAGAAGCCTCTGAGGGGAGAAAAGGGGGAGGAGGGATGCAGCCCAGCACAGTCAACTGGCATAGCTCAGTGCTGCGGATCCCTAGCAGTTGTCCCTCTAAGAGGCCAAAGTTACAGCTGTGCACCTGTCTTATTCGGGGTGATATTGCGAGGCTGGCTGAGACAGTCACAGCTTTGCTTTCTTCAGTGGCCACAAACGTTGTCATTCTCTTTAAAAACACTTAGTGTGTATATAATGACCTCTAAGCTCTGTGTGTCAGGAGTATAGGTATGAGGAACAGGTATGCACCCAAAGTGAAGGGCAGCTGTAGTGATTTGTTGTTGTTCATTCGTTCAATCGTTTCCGACTCTTCATAACCTCATGGACCATCCCACACCAGAGCTCCCTGTCGGCCGTCACCACCCCCAGCTCCTTCAAGGTCAAGCCAGTCACTTCAAGGATCCCATCCATCCATCTTGCCTTTAGCCGGCCCCTCTTCCTTTTTCCTTCCATTTTCCCAAGCATCGTTCTCTTTTCCAAGCTTTCTTGTCTTCTCATGATGTGGCTAAAATATGTCATCTTTGCCTCTAATATCCTTCCCTCCAATGAGCAGTTGGGCTTTATTTCAAGTATGGACTGGTTCAAGATTGGGAAAGACATACAGCAGGGCTGCATACTCTCACCCAACCTATTCAACTTGTATGCAGAACACATCATGCGATGCGTGGGGCTTGGGGAATGCAAGGCTGGGGTGAAAATTGCTGGAAGAAACATTAACAACCTTAGATATGCAGGTGACACCACTTTGATGGCTAAAAGCAAGGAGGAGCTGAGGAGCCTTCTAATCATAGAATAATAGAATCAAAGAGTTGGAAGAGACCTCATGGGCCATCCAGTCCAACCCCCTGCCAAGAAGCAGGAATATTGCATTCAAATCACCCCTGACAGATGGCCATCCAGCCTCTGTTTAAAAGCTTCCAAAGAAGGAGCCTCCACCACACTCCGGGCAGAGAGTTCCACTGCTGAACGGCTCTGACAGTCAGGAAGTTCTTCCTCATGTTCAGATGGAATCTCCTCTCTTGTAGTTTGAAGCCATTGTTCCGCGTCCTAGTCTCCAAGGAAGCAGAAAACAAGCTTGCTCCCTCCTCCCTGTGGCTTCCTCTCACATATTTATACATGGCTATCATATCTCCTCTCAGCCTTCTCTTCTTCAGGTTAAACATGCCCAGCTCCTTAAGCCTCTCCTCATAGGGCTTGTTCTCCAGACCCTTGATCATTTTAGTCGCCCTCCTCTGGACACATTCCAGCTTGTCAATATCTCTCTTGAATTGTGGTGCCCAGAATTGGACACAATATTCCAGGTGTGGTCTAACCAAAGCAGAATAGAGGGGTAGCATGACTTCCCTGGACCTAGACACTATGCTCCTATTGATGCAGGCCAAAATCCCATTGGCTTTTTTTGCCGCCACAAGGTGAAAGAAGATAGCGCAAAACCTGGGTTGCAGCTAAACATAAAAAAAACAAGATTATGGCAACAAGAATGATTGACAACTGGGAAATAGAGGGAGAAAACATAGAGGCCGTGACAGACTTTGTATTTCTAAATTACTGCAGATGCAGACTGCAGCCAGGAAATCAGGAGACGCTTACTTCTTGGGAGGAGAGCAATGACCAATCTTGATAAAATAGTGAAGAATAGAGACATCACACTGGCAATGAAGATCCACATAGTTAAAGCAATGGTATTCCCCATAATCACATATGGATGTGAGAGCTGGACCATAAGGAAGGCTGAGCGAAGAAAGATAGATGCTTTTGAACTGTGGTATTGGGGGAAAGTGCTGAGAGTGCCTTGGACCGTGAGAAGATCCAACCAGTGCATACTTCAAGAAATAAAGCCTGACTGCTCACTGGAGGGAAGAATAGTAGAGGCCAAGATGAAGTACTTTGGCCACATCATGAGAAGAAAGGAAAGCTTGGAGAAGAGAATAATACTGGGGAAAATGGAAGGAAAAAGGAAGAGGGGCCGACCAAGAGCAAGATGGATGGAATCCTTGAAGTGACTGGATTGACCTTGAAGGAGCTGGGGGTGGTGACAACTGTCAGGGAGCTCTGGTGTGGGCTGGTCCATGAAGTCACGAAGAGTTGGAAACGACTGACTGAATGAACAACAGCAAATGGACTGGTTGGATCTTCTTATAGTTCAAGGCACTCACAGAGTTGTGTGATGCCGTTTTATGTTTATGTTTGTCTGTTTGTTTATGTTGAAGTAATTCACTAATTATATATATATATACACACACACACACACACGCTATTTCCCCCTTCCCCCTTACCATTATTTGTGCTACCTTCACCAGGACCAACCAACTCACCTTGTTTCACATATCCAAAATTGCATAGCTTCTGTTGCCAGCTTGTATCCCTTTCCCTTGTTAAAGATATGCTCAATAAAAATTTCCATCTGTTTGTATTGATAGTCCCTTTTTAACTTTTAATATTGCAAGTTGACCTGTCATTAATAGTTATGTTCTAAATTTCTGTACCATTCTTCTAATTGAATTTCTTTTCTTTCTTTCAATTTTTTTTGCTGTCATCAATTTCACTTCTGTTAGTAAATAGAAACCAGTTTCTTCTCCTCTTGTGAGGGGATTGTATTGTCATGTATAAATAGCAATGCTGTTTTGGGTGTATTCACCATCTCTATTTTTATTATTGCTCTTCTTTAAATACCGTCTCCTGAAATTTTTGTATAATTTTACATGACCAACACATATGAAGGGGCCTCCTGGTAGCAAAGCAGGTTAAATCGTTGAGCTGCTGAACTTGCTGATTGAAGGGCTGGCGGTTCAAATCCGGGGAGCAGAGTAAGCTCCCACTGGTAGCTCCAGCTCCTACCAACCTAGCAGTTCAAAACATGTAAATGTGAGTAGATCAATAGGTACTGCTTCTGTGGGAAGGTAACAATGCTCCATACAGTAATGATGGACACATGACCTTGGAGGTGCCTACAGACAGCACCAGCTCTTCAGCTTAGAAATGGAGGTGAGCACCACCTCCCAGAGTTGGACACAACTACATTTAATGTCAGGGGAAACCCTTACCTACCACATGTGAAGATATGAGTCCAATTTCTGACAGCCTTCCTAGCACTGATTTGAATATTTTTTATTATCTATCTGTTTTAGTCCAATGGGGGTTAAGTACTATCTCCATAATGTTTTGAAATAGTTTTCATTAATTCTTATGAACATATTTTTTAGTAATCACACACTCCATATCCTTGCCCATTCTTGATTATTCACTTTTATTTCAAAATCTACTTCCAATATTTCCCGTTGAGTTATCATCTTCTCAATTTTCGTATACTCCCTACCCAATTATACTTTTTCTTTATATTGTTTAACCATTTCCCCAATTGTAAATACTTACACCACTCTATATCTCTTCTTATTGACCTTTTATCCTATCTATGCAAGACTTAATGGAGGCACAGCAACAATTTTTTTTATATTTATAAAATGTGTACCCCTTCTTTTCCAAATCAAGGACACAAGGTGGCTTACAGCCGATAAAAACATACAATATAAAAATTAAGAACAAGATAAAACTATAAATATTAGCAAGTGCTGTTAAACCCTTATTAAAACCCCAACATGATATATAAAACCACAATTCAGCTGCACTTACATGTACCTGATGGGTATAAGTAATTTTTTCAGTATAAGTAATTTTATTATAATAAATACTTCCTACTAACACATTTGCTAAAAGAATTACAATCAGTATCTCCAGTGTTTACAATATTTGAATGTTTGCCATTTTTATCATTAAAGTTATAGATCCAGTTTCAGTTTTATTGACGGTTTTTTTCTTCTTTGGTTTTGGTTACAAATATTGTTATAAATTCACCCCCCTCTCTCTACTCACACACACACACCAATCCCTCAGGTGTGGTCTCAGCCAGCCAGGGCCAGAACTTCCTCTATCAGCCTCATTCAGTTTTGCTCAGGGTTCCTATTTTCTCTACTACAAAGTTCACACTAGAAGTAACATTTGCTGGCTTTTGAGTTGTTATTTCTCTGCTTCTCTGAAAAGCCAAAGCCTGGATAACATACGGGTTGATCAGTCTTGTTGTTGGCCAAGGAACATCCCAAAAGACTTCCTGGGTGTCCCTCTGTTGCCCCCTCTTTATTTTCTTCTGTTGGTGTCAATGCGGGCCTCGGATCCTGGCCTCCAGTCCAGATGCCACTGCCTCTCAAGGCTAGAGTTCCAAGTCTAGCCCGTAAAAGGCGACTGCCACCTTTTTCCAGGGTGTCTTTGGCCTAAGGACAGTCCCTGATGAAGTGCTTAGTGATCTCCCTCGGCTCACTTCCACAGGCGTGTTTCTGGCACAGAAATCTGGGATGCATGTCCGATGGGGTTTGTGGAAGGTGTACATTGCCTACTCTTGAAGTACATCTTATATTAGCTCCCTTACAATTTTCCTATGGTTTGGAAATTGAGAGGATTTATAAGACTGGCCAGCACACATTTTGGTGCCTCCAATGTTAGCCCAGTTTCTTGGAATATCTGAGCTGCTGATTGCAAAAATGGCACAGATTTCCTACTATTGGCTCTAGTGTTTGAGGACATCATCGTCAATCACTCACATCCGAGTACGATTGCCTTCCAAGTGTAGGGTCTTGGTGACATACACTTACACAAAGCATCTTTGTTAGAACATCCCAGGACAATCCTAGCCCGACTTGCCAAGTGTGTGTGCTGTCTGTATAAGTGCATGTGTGTGGATATTCCCTTCAAGTTGCCTGTCGACATGATGACCTATAAATTTCACAGGATTTTCTTAAGCAAAAATAATACGCTGTGATTTTGCCTGTTCTTTCCTCTGAAATATAGCTAATAGCATCTGGAATTTGTTAGAGGTATCCCATTCAAATATTAACCAAAGCTGCCCCTGTTTTGCTTCCAAGATCAGTCAGGATCTAGTG